GACACACAGCAGAAGGGCGGGTCTTCAAAACCTCCTGGTTTGGCTCTTTGAATTTGGCCACCATCCATGCTAGACAACATGTTCGCAAGTCCTAAGGTCCTATAGTGGCTACTAGGTTGGAGGCCACCGCTACTAGGTTGGAGGCCATCGCTAGTAGGTTGGAGGTCATCGCATGCCGTTTCAAGTCTTGGGCCCTTCAGGAGGACATGGAGCCCACTGAAGCTGCAGCTCAATGCTTTCGGCACTTCCCGGCAAGCGGTGGGCTGACCAATGAGTTGGACTCCAAACCAAAAGAGAACCACTTCTGTTGTTTTAGGTCAGTACAATATCGCATGACTATGTTGCGAGGTTGGTGGCAGATTCATATCTGAATTGACCCAGGATGGGAACTCAACAGCGGGGTTGGGATGATGGTTGTCTTTGTGAGGCTTGTTTTAGGTGGCCTGATGCAGATACACATTGATAAGTCTTCACGTGAAGCATTTTCCTTCCAAGGCGTTCTACCAATGGCTGACGGATGTCGGTTGAGCTTTCCTTGGGCCCTTGTCCAGGTCATTTGACCTGGTTGCTCCCTGAGGTCGTCGCAGCCTCTTGCGCAGCTTGACGCCTAAGACCAGCGAAGTCTCGCTCGGCAGCTTTCCGGCAGACTTTTGCAGCGAGGCGGAGATTAAGGCAGGGAGAATATGACACTCCTTTCCTTGGTTACGGTTGTGGACGAACAGTATGGTTGCTATGGGGGTGGCCTCCCATCTCCCGTGCCTTTTTGGCCTTTTTTGTGTGGAAAGTGCTGCTACACTTGCTGCCACTTGCTATGGATTCGCTACCAGGTTTGGTGGCACCGCACCGTTTCATCCGATTCAACAAGTCCTGACAGGTACAGAAGGTCAATATTGAATAATATTGATAGAGCCATTGAACCTGACCATGAGTTTCCAAACTTGGGACAACCACTCCGCAGAGCCCAAGAGCATAGTGAGCTAGAGAGTTAGTTAGGTAGCATATGGATGTATATGGTATTCTGTAGCCGTGTTTGATCAGTGATTTTGCATCAATGTCCCCGTTAGAGTTTGATGAGTATGATAGTCTATGCTTCTATAATCATTTGCATGAGCCATAACTATATATCATTTATATAATTGCATATATATATATATTATATACGTAATGGAATGTAATTTTATGTTTTAGTATTATATTTACTATTGTGCTGATAGCCATCGTCAAAAATGTAGAAAGACAACACATGCCACATCTCCCCGCACCATGAATCCACCACCAGGTGGCGCGACACTTGGCGCAGTGCTTAGCGGAACCCTCACAGTTGCCCGTGCCAGCAGTTGAGAAGCGGAAGCCGCGCTGGAAGGACAAGGGATGCGCTTGTTGATCAGAACTTTAATGAGGCAGCACACATGTATTTGGATGAGTCTGTGCGGGATAACGTAGGAGACACTCATGGAACTTATGAAATTGATATCTCACTGAGATTGGAATGCGGTTTTTGCTTTGGCTTTTCCACTTGGTCACTTGCTTTGGGCTTGGCTCTTTGGTACTATGTGCTTTGTGTTTTTGGCTTTGGCTGACCGCACGGCTGGAACAAGGGTTGCTTTGGCTTAACAGTGGCAGCATGTCATGTCTTGTGTGAAATATGTGAAATGTATAAAGCATTGCAGATACATTGCCATCTACCACTAGTATGAATATTGTGCTTCATCATGCACGAGGGAGCGTTCCTTAGGAAGGTTGCGGTTCTTTTTGCCGAGGTCCAGGATTACTTTACTTAATTCGATTTCGTTCCGCATCGTGAGCAGGAGATGTTTGAAGGATTGAGGTGAAGCTGAGCAGCGAGATGTAAAGACTGCAGTTCAGCCAGCTGAGAGCAGAAAATCAGTGTCCAAATGGGTTCGACAAGTATAAAACTGATTCGACTTGGTCCATGCAGGATGCTGCCAACCCAGATGCCCCGATTCGACTGCCGAGGCCAATGTACGAGCTGGCCGACTTCGGGGATCCCTGGGACTATTGGTCAGTGCATGCCAGTTCGGATCGCACGAAGGTGGGAGACCGTTCGGGTTGCCTGATGGCCATGAGACATCCACTGATGGCGTGTTGCTTGGAACTGCTGCAAAAGGGCCCTCCTCCAGGAAAAAGAGGCTAAGTTTCACTCCTTTTGGCATCTTTTGGCTGAAAGAGCTGTAGATGAGTAGTGGAACTCTACCGTGCTAAAGGCATCTTGTGCTCAGACTCATGACTCATCTTGGATCATTTTGGCTGTCAGACCTGACGATACCTGACACCCAATGTCGGTGCCCAGAGTTAGTTCATTTGACGCCCTGGAAATCTGTGTACGGGTCCAAGACTTGGCGGCACTGCTTTCTGCCAAGACTTGGAACCTTTGCCGTTGCCTTTTCTTTCTTTTTTTTAGACCTGTCTTCCAGAAACAGGCCGTTCTCCGACCGCTGGACAGGGCGTTTTTGGAGGTGTCCTTAGAGCTTCCTAGACCTTTGCAGCGCTTCGGGAAGTCCTTTGGGAAGGTTGCATGGTGATCACCTCCAGTAGCCCATCTCCCAAGGCTGCAAGGAAGAATATGCAGATGATGGCAGATGATCATTGGAGTCCAAGCAGCCCAACTTGCCCAACAATTGGATTTTTTTGGGGGGCAACTCATGTTTGAATCCAAAAGTTTGACATGCCTTATTCATGAGTACTCCATGTCTCACCTTCACCAGTACTTAAAACGATCGGAATCGCAGAGCCAGCCGGGATGCAGAAAGTAACATTAATTTTGACATGACATCTCTTGCGTCAGAAAGTGAAGCGAATTCCTATAGCCGCACGGTAGGTCAGCATTGTGCAGAACAGCCGCTTTGGCATTGGAGATGTCACGTTCTTGATGGTGATGTATGGCAAGCCTGCTGCTCAGGGCCAAAGAGCTAGACAGGCAAGATGTCAGCACCAAATGAATAGCCAAATGAATAGCACCAATATTGTATAATATTGTTCATGTTGTTCAATGTGTTCCTATAATTTGGTGCGAATAACAAAGTCAAAGTCCGTCAACAGAAACTGACAGGCAAAGGATCGCTCGGAGATGCGCCTGAGGCTCGAATACGTTCAAGACACGGTCAAGAGGCGGCTGCGGAGAACGAAAAACATCAATGACTTTGTGTGAAAAGCCAAGGCCACGAAGATATGATCTGTAGCTCACACGTGTTCACACTTTTTACTTCCAGATCTGGTCAGGATAGGTCGTGCCTTGACTACTACAGAATCATTGCAGGTGCTACTTCGATCAAGGCAGTTTCCTGACTCATCCCAAGTGCCTAATTACGTAAGAGTTGGTTACCACTTTCTGTTAAACAGGAGCAGCAGCAGCACCTTGGCCAGGCTCACGAAGCATACTGTCCATACCACTGGTGGCCTGAAGCTTGAGGAAAGCCGTTCGTTCACCGCAGGGGCGTTTCTCAGAGGCTCCACTGACAAGAGTGAAACGTTTCGTAGGTCGGTGGCTAGGCTATGAACTTGTATCGTATTGAGACTGTTCCATTAATCATTCAGCCTGAAGTTCCAAGCCTCCTCTTCCGCCCTTCGGTCCTTCTTTCCTCAGGACATTTCGGTGCTCTACTTGTTTGGTTTGCTGTCATTTGATCGAAATGCAAGTGCCAACGATTGTTTTGTGTCACTTATTCTGTTTGGTTGAGTCCACCTCTAATTATGACACATTATGACTAACTCGACTATATAGTATAAGTGTTTGGCTTTTTGTTGGTCTTTTGAGTCTTCTGTATGTACTTTGACCGGGTTCCGTCAGCCACAAACAATATTTGTACTTGTCACGCAATCCAATGCAACCCTCCGGTTTGTGGGTGAAAGAAAGCATGTTGGGTCACCGCATGTTGCCACGGAGGGTGTCACAGTGATCCTGAAATCGCTGCAGCCTGAGATAAGTGCATCTCACCAAAGCAAATGCAGGTGAGCATAGTGAGCAATTTTGTGCCTGAATACCTTAAAGTTCTAACTCGTGACACAACGAGCAGCTTAAGGGTGGGAAGTCATCCTCCCAGATATTGTGGGACTGTCCAGGATTGCTCATTTTTGCTTACTGGTTCGTTTGGTAGTCAAGAGCACTGCAGAATTGGATTGAATTGGCCTGCACAGGCATGCTGACACCCATTGGACTGCAAGCTATCACATGATTGATGCTGAAATGAAATCCCCAGTCTTGCAGCCTTCAGGCCTTCAGGGCCTCCAAATTTGATACAGTATTTGCGCTATTGTGTGTATTTATACATTAATCATTTGTCAGAAGAAATGTCAATTGTGTTTTGAAATCAGGGCTGTTGTCACCAGCCTCCCTTTATTGTGTGAACCTCGCGCATGAGCTCTTAGGCTGGGATTGCTGGGTGACTGGGCGGTGGATCGCTTACACAAGATGACTCAAATGGCCCTGCAGCTGAGAAGAACGCCTCAAATGTTTGATTATCGAAACACAGTGAGAGCTTCAAACACTTGGCCGTAGCCAGCGGCCAGAAGACACCGCATGTGGCTGTCATCGTTTGCGGAATGACGCAGCGCCGTGATTGCTCTGGTGGTTGGTCAGATGCCAAGGTCGGAATGTATTGTGATGGTGTGCGGGGTCCAAGCCTTTCGAAGGTCACAGGCAGACGGCAGACGGCGCAATAGTATTGGTGTCAATTTCACGGAATGAACATGTGCACATGTATACATATTTATGTGTTGCCAGATCTTTGCAATGCAAAGGTTCCAGTTGTGGATTATTGACTGGGTTGAGGACTGGCGAAGACCACTGCTAATTGATGCAATTGGTGGCTGCCTCGACTGCAGTGGGCAAGTATTTTTTGCTTCACGTAGCTCTACAGCTTTGCTGGACTTGGTCAAGTGCGAAAGGCGTCAGGTCGCCAATCGACATACTGACTGGACGACTCAAGATACGCAAAGTCCCTTGATGTGATGCTCTATTCTCTCACTCATGACGCGACTGCAGCCATTTCAATTAGTGGTTGCTGTTGAAGGTGGGGCGCCGGGTGGTAAAGATGTCATACAAAATCGATGGCGCGGATACTTGGCAGAGTTTGATGTCAAATCACTGAAACCTTTGAAGTTGCACGTGCTGGGAAAGGGCTTGCAACAAAGCAAACTGAGACAACTTGCTGAAATCATCCGAAACAGCCCCAGAGCCACCCTGCGCGGTGACCCATATTGCCCTATTTCACTTAATAGCTGAGTTGTTATTAATATATGAAAGGGTTTATACAAGATGTAATCTTCAAAAGGGTGGCGTAGGCAACCTGCTTGGGGACATAGGCGGTCGTAGGCATTTTGTTGTGCAATGTTTGTCGTAGGCGCTTGCCGTAGAAGACCATACATCCATTAAAATAGCATGCCTTGAAGTCATCCAGCTTGTGTTGCTGATTCACTTTGAACGGATGTGTGTTGATACGTTTGTCTCTCAAGTTAGTCGGTGTTTTGTCATGTTTTGTCCATGAGCAATCGAGCTCAGGGAATTTTAAAGGCCGCTGCCTGTGTGTGGGAGATGAACACACCCAACAGTATCCCCAAGGACGCTTTTTTGTTCCTGGTGGCTCACCGTAGGTTCTCTGTACAGTCGTAGGCGAAAATGCATTTTCGTGATCATTCCTCGATGTCCGCTTGCCTAGGGTACTTTCAACTATATCTAAAAGCTGCTGTGCTGAGACGTACTCCGTACTCCTAATGTCGAAGACATGGGGAGACTTGCAAGAACTGCATGGTACCGTACGCAAAATTGAACAGTATTTCTCTAACACCTCACGTTCGTAGGTTTGACGTAGGCATTTTATAGTAATAAGTCATGTTTGCCGTAGGCTTGCACTGTGGAAACGTAGGCAAACCGTGGGTTTCTACGTAGGCACCCAAGGATGTTAACACCACCACCTTTTTGAATAGATTTTTGCTCACTTAGGACCTCACCTGGCCTACAGATGCGGAACTTGCCAAAGTGGAAGAAATCCGTAAGAATTGTGCAGAAGCCTGGCCGCACTTGTCGCCCAGAAGTCGCATGTAGTTGGACCATGTTGGGCTTTTTTGCACAGCAACTAATGCCATGCCAATGGTTGAAGACTTGAGCGTTTGAGGACCAGATTGCGGCCATGCCGGAAAAGCCCCGTGATGTGGTTGGAGACATCCGAGTTTGCCGCTACTTGCGTTTCTACAGCGGTGATGTGGCGAAGGCTGTGGGTCATTGGGGCGATAAAATATACTGCCCCGAGTGATTATACCCGTGAGACAGGTCAAACGACAAATGGTGCACAGACATGCAGACTAATAGAGTCAATAGAGGATAAAAAGATCATATAAAAAAGAGGAATAGGGACGGAATAGGAAGAATCAATTGGGCAGCGACAAAGCTCAACCAATTTTGGAGGATTCAAGTCATCCTGACCAATCGACGTCTAGGGCCTAAGGCCAAGCATTGTCGTTATTATACACACATATAATCGCATACAGTATCTATATTATACATATACGGTTATTGATGCAGTGGGATATCAAGTTACCACACGGCCTTCCAGCAGGCCTCGGCAGCCTTTGCCAAGTATTTACAGTATTGGGTGGATGAGAAGATCCATGTTCTACGAGAGGCGGGGTCTAGAAAAAGGGTGTAGGGTCCACGGACGGGTCTGAGTTCACCTGTGCAGTCTAGTATAGTTTGAGCACAACACATAAATTTACCATTGCTCTCATCACGCACGCACATAATCACAGGGTAATATTCACTCATCAACAACGTTTGATGTTAATGTCTCAGTTTTGTCCAGCCACCCAGCATTGAGAAGGGAAGGTCGTTCTGAAGTAACAACGGCTGCATGTTCTCATGGTGCTCGTGCAAACCTTGACATGGATAATTCGTTAGCAAAGTTGGGTTGTTGTGTTCTATCGTGCTTTTGGCCTTGAACATCCTAGTTTTGATAAGAGTGTCCCATATGGTGGCCAGACTCTGCCCAAAGAGAGAGAGAGAGAGAGAAATCACCCATTGGGATTAAGATTCCCCAAAAATCTAGGAACCAAATGATTAGTGTGAGCGTTTCTTCAAGGAAGCTCCCCCCAAAGCGTGAGCTATCCTGCGTCCTACCTAGGAGCGTCCTGCTCACTAGCTACCATCTATATACCTCTTCTTGCGGGCGACCTGCCTCCCCCCTCGATCTTTAAACATCATGACTCAAAAACAGAAACAGATGAACGCGAAAAGATCGGTTTTGTCCAAGGATCGACGCTTGAAGAACAAAGATATAGGATGAAATAGGTAATGAGAAACTTAGTAGTGGTGCAGCCCCAACAATCCAGCAACCTTGGGAGGATGGAAGCAAGGGGCCGCGGGATTGTCACCAGACCCTATCCGACTACCAGTGAGACACGAAGTGGAGAGGCTATTTTTTTGAATGGAGCAGCACCAGTTTGTTGAACCGTGTCGGAGTCACATGACTTCACAAGTATTGTGGAGTCCATGTATGTCCGCGCCTGCGCTTACAAAGACCAGGCAAGTGCGGCATGCACCGGGTTTGCCACAACTCATTCATGCCACTAGATTCTACCCACAACAAGCTGACTCTACAATGGCCACATGGTTTGGCAGCTTGCGATGCAGACGAATTTGTCTCATTATCTTTTATCATTTATCTACAGAATGGTTGCAAGATGTTGCAAGAAGGAGAGACACCCGACCGAGACAAACACAAAGTTAACGACACCATATATTATTAATTATTACTATATATATATATATATTTATTTATACACGGACCGTACCCCCGGCACCCCCCAAATAACAAAGAGTTACTATATTGAAAAGCAGTTCTTGGAGGCCTCCAAAGACTGGATTTACAAAATTGCATAGAGCAATTGAGATCATTGCAGTGGCCTCCATGTGCAGGGCCTCATGGACTTGGAGTTGAAAGACTTCACCAAGTGGCTTGAGTTCCTTCGCCTTTGATTTTGCGGGGATCGGAGTCGGCGGGTGAGACAGGCGGGTTTCCTTCACACAGCAATGGCTTATCGTCCCTTCACGCTTGTGGCTTCGTTTCTTGGCCGAGGTCGGTGATGTCACCCTACACTCCGCATTTCGTTCCAGGATTTACCACGACACAGGACGGTCGATCAGCGCCGATCGGGAGGCTGCTTGCTTGTCCACGCCATACACCTGGCCCGGCCTCACTAACTATCACTAGACAAATACGTTTTCTTTACTCTTTGTTATGGAGGGGCTTCATGGAAGAATGTTTGAAACTATCACTCCAGGACGGGCACTTTGTCATTTTCACATCGCCAGGATCATTCAAGGCACCTTGTCCTGATGTGGTTCTTGCGTTTGCATCCGAATTCTGACTAGACAGAAAGGCTGCCTAAAGATACCCCTACAGGCCCCACATTCCATTCATTCCACCCTGCATATCGTTTGCTGGCCCTACCCACCATTCATCCTTTTTGCCCCGAACAAAAGAGCAGAGAACATCGGTCGCTGGGCACCGCGCGCACCGCTGAGCCCAACGAATTTGTGAGCAAGCGGCCTGCCTGCCACACGTTGGAAAACGACCTTGCTCTCATCCGGGTCTCATTGGAGTACTTCATGAAGCAAGTGGATGACAATTGCTACAAGAGACGCAGGATGTGCTACGCGATCAAGCTGATACCTGTCCTTGTTTGGCTAACTGTTAACCTCACTTGGGTCGTTAGTTTGTAGCATGATGCAACTCTTGTGGATCCATGTCGAGCTGCTCAGCTTGGTTAAGGATCGACTGCAAAGAGCTGGGGAACGAGACTCTTCCGGTTTTCGTGCCAGAAATTCGAAAGTTTGCCCAAGACAACCTGGGCAAGATCATGAGTTTCTACTGCGAGCAGGAGATGGTTGTGGTCATTGTTCCCGTGTTTGTATTTTTTGAGACCCTCTTAAGCAAGATAGTGCCTCAAACCCTAGCAGGACATTCTTTTGCTGGTGGTGAATGCACCATTCATGGTGCGTGCCATCACCGCCTTTGCGACCACCTTCATGGCCAAACGACAATCGAATCGAATCAAGGTCATGGGAACTGCGACCGGATCAGATGTCCAGAATGTACTTCGGGCCATAGGCCCTGCCAGCATCTTCCCACCCACTCTGGGAGGACGGCGTCGGGTTAAACCATAACGGTCATATTATATAAAGCAATTGTCAAAATAAGTACACGCAGTGTGCAAGTGTTTAAAGTCTGGAGGAGTTTTAGGTGTAGACCCTGGCCCCCAACAAACCCCTACGAACTGGCCGGGTCGCACAGGATACTTTGGCCGTGTCGCTTTGGGACAACTGTAGCTCAGATAACACTACTCCCTGACATTTCGTGGCCCGACCTTGTGATGCAGGAACGCGAAAGGCGGAGGATGTCCCATTCCTCAAGCCTTTGCTATACCAGGATGAGAGTAGGCACTTCGCACGGTTTTCAGGGCAGAGCCGGCAGAGATAGCCGTGGAGCTAATAAGAGCTAATCAGGTTTGATGTTTTGGAGTTTTCAAGAATAGACGAGCACGACACTTTGACACAGAACACTCCCACCTGTCATATCCAATCAATCCTGGTCAGGGTGAAGAAGTGGATGGAGCGATCCTCTGCTGGCAACAGCCACTCGGGTGCAGACCCCAAGCCACCGCCCAGTGCCAATGTGTCGGAGACCGCGGACGCAAGCGCAAGCCGAACGGAGCAAGCGAGCGGGTACGAGCGAGCCGAGCAGCCTGAAACGCTGGAGCCACTGCCTGTGGTAAACCTAGAGGTGGGCAGGTCAAAGATAATATATTCAGATGGGTTGAAGTTCTTTTGTGCGCCTTTCCCTTTCCAGGATGTGGGGCCGCCAGAAGACGTGCAGCCTGAATCAGACATGAAGGTGGACATCCAAGAAGCAACGGCAACATCCGGAGGATGGTGACTTTGCTTGCATGGGATGAGGTTTGGTCCCTTGAAGCAGGTGGGACTGACAGAGGCTCCATTCACGCTTGCTTGGTACCAAGGTTGTGCTCTTGTTCTGCACCTTGCTGAGTGAGGATTGGGACTGCTTGGGGTGCCATGAGTGTAGAGCGTCCTACTTACGCCTTGAAATGATCAATCCATAGTCCATTGCGTTTGGCTCCGGGGATGTAATGCGTGGCCTCCAGAGGCGACCGGTCCCTCCAACTGATTCTCCGCTTACTGTAATGGGCTCAAAAGAGGCACATGCTTGGTGGGCAGTCTTTGTCACAGCGAAGCTGGACATGTCTGTCACCTGCCCGTGTATGGAAAGTGAAGTGAAATTGATTGAAGTTGATGGTTGGATATCTTTGTTTGCATCGCCCCATCTCCATAGAAAGTCCATGAAAGTCCCAAGATACCCCAACACTCTCAGAAACAGATCGCCATTCCTTTCAACGACCCTACCCGGAACCCAATGCTCTTTTGAGACTTTTGGTAGGGCATGGTGCCGTCATTATTCTACAGGGGGTTGTGAGGGTTCAGCTAGAACCTCTTGAAGTCTTGAAATCAATGGACATGGGGGTCGCTGGACCTTTGCCTCCCTGTTTGCCTCGGCGCTTGAGAACACTGGTTGCATGTCAAATAGGTCACCGTTGTGGCCACAACTTCCACATACTGGCTAGTGGTCAGCCACAGCCCTTGTCAGAGCTTTCACCTCCATAAATACATCCATTTGGCCCCTGAGATGAGTTTCAAGATGAAGGCTAGGACAATTTGGCAGCACTGCTTCAAGCATGGTTGCAGCATCAAGTTCACGTGGCACGCCGCCGGCAAAATGGAGAATCTCGCGGGCACACCGTTGCTGCTTCATCGGTGTTTGTCAAACAAAGATGAGGCAGAGAGAATGCGAGCAGCCATCGGCTCAAAGCACTAAGTCTATACACCAGCACGTTTTGACATGGAAATCGAATGAACTAGATATCTATATTTCCTCATTCTTACAGTGATGTCTCAGAAAATTGGCCTGGCATACCTGACTGCCTCACCATTCGACCTGTATTCCATTGAGATCCATTGAGCGATCTGTTCACACATCCGCCACGATGAGTTTTACTTTCGATGGAGCTGAGCCTAGGCATTCTTTTGGGAAGAGCCTTTGGTACTGGACCAGTCAGTGCATACCAAGAAAATATTTAGGCCGTTCAGGGACAGAAGGATCTTCGGACCTGCAGGCGGCCCTTAGTGCAAAATTTTGCAGTGGGCGACTAATGGCACTTCTTGATTGCCTAGATAATTGCGACTGCGGGAGGAGATGGATTTGTTGCATAACATATAAATCGTTGGCCTTTGGATGGGGGGATTTTGGTGGCTGATCGAGAGACTCTTCAAGTGATGGGCCAAGGATTGTTCATGGCCCTCGCCTGAAGAACTTGCAAAGGTGCAAGAAATTCGGGAGAAATGTGCGGCCTCTCGTCCAGCAGATGAACAATAATTCGTTGTGCTTGAGAAGCATGAATGCCTTGCTTGCAATATCTTTCAATGCTGGCCGTCCTTTCTACTTTGTGGATCGTCGCATTGCAGTGTGATCAGAGTCATTTAATATCAGGCATCAGCACTCGGCAGTCAGACATGAGAGAAGAATAGAGAAGATGAAACAGGACTTTGGAACCTATTGCTCAGCTTGTTTCAGCTTAGGCCGAGCTTGCAGCACTGTCCGAGTCGCCCCGTGATGTTGTCGGTGATATCCGAGTTGCTCGCTTCTTGCGTTTCTATGGGGGCAAGGTTCCTGAGGCAGGCGCTTGCAAAAAGACTGAGCAGATGCTAAGACTGATAGTTGCATATAGTTGCATGTTGTGATAGCCTGAATCAATTATGATTACAGTAACATACAGCTATTTCTCATTGGTGCCCCTCCGCCAGGCATCAAAGGGCTTTTCGGATTTTTTGAAGTGGCGAGTGAAGGAGAACATTGATGTGTTGCGGAAGGCAAGGTTTTGCGAGTCATGCTGTCAACTGCCGTTCTTGGAATAGGGTGTGATCGGGTGCTGCCCTACCCCTCCAGTTTTGCCACGAGGGTTTACTGTTTACTGAAAAGCTTGCCCCTGGAGATGTTCACCATGCTGCACCATGGGATTGTTTGGGGGTCGCGGAAACTACTTGGCAGAAGAGATGTTCATCCCATTGTGAAGAGATGCTCGTCCCACTTCCAAAGTGTGTGGTCATGATGCCGGCAGGGCATCATCGACTTGAACAGGGAGCAGTTTCATGAGTGGGTGGACTCGGTGCGTTCGCCCTTTGCTCCAGTCTTGGTCCCCTTCTTCGGAGAGACGCAGGACACAGAGATGCTTGCGTTGTTTCTTGTGAGCGGGGGGGGGGGGGGTGTTTGCTTGCTTTGTTTTGTGATTCCAGATTGTTTCAGCTACAGTTGGGCCGATACGGCGGTGCTGTGCGAGGGCTATCGAAGGCTATCAGCTTCAGGGAAGGCTACGGTGGAGTTGCAATATATAACATGGGAGTCCAATGAAGTTGCTTGAGTAGTTCCTTTCGTGCGGTTGCAACAACTCGTGCCTGACATGCCAATGGTCAGCCACTATTTAATAGCCTCGTATAGCCTCTAACTTGTGTTTCATTTTCCCGACAGGAGGGCCATATCGTCATTTTCGTGTCCCCTGGATACTTCAAGGCCCAACAGCGTTTCTTGCGCGAGAGATATATACAGTATACATATAGAGAGAGAGAGAAAGAGGGGTGGGAGAGGGAGAGGGTGAGGGGTATATACATTCTGCAAAGTGGCAGTGAAAAATTGTGTAAATTGCACAAGATCGAACACACCAGTCTGTGCCAAGTGAATGCAACGTAAAGCACTTTTTCTTTGCTCTATGGCGGCGGTGCAAGGCGTATACGGGCCCTCGAGCCAAACGCAAGGCATTGAATTAACTTTCATGCAAGCTCAAAACAGGAAGATACTATGGACAAACTGTAAAAAGAGTCTATAAATAGGATTAACATTAGTAATAATGTTAAATACATACATTGCGAAGATATATATATATATACGTCCCTAAGCAACCAAAAAGGGAATCATAGAGGGAGAGGGAGACGATGTCAAGAAACACTCCCAACAAAGATTGGAAGGTAAAGTTGCAACACGCATATATATATAAGTGCAAACATAACCAAACATACTAAAACACAATAGGCACAACACTGCCCCGCGAAAGGCGGCAGAGTTCGTTAGCAAGAGACCAGCTTGTCACACGATGGACAATGATCTTATGCTGGCCCGTGCTGGCATAGACGCTCGGATCATCAGACCTTGTGATACACTGCAGCAAATCCACACTGACCTGGTGTCGCGTGGAAACTATTTTTGGAGTTCCAGATTTTCAAGTGCTTGCATTGTGTTCCAGCCGTCATGGCACAACATGCAAGGAGTATGTGATGAAGGTTGTTGACGACAACTGCCACGAAAGGCATCAGATGCTATACACCGTCAAAGTGCTCCTTGTCAAAAAGAGAGATTCGACCTTGGCTTTCTCCAGCCTGCACACTAGATGCAGCTTGCAATCAGTATATAACCCCTCAGTGTGTTTCAACCCAGTGTCACAGCCACACACCAAACAGGACAAAGAAAAGAACAAAAAAGGGCTACAGCGTTTGCGCAAAGAAGCAGTGGAACGCTGCCCAACTGTCCTCAAAGCCAACTCAAGGATCGATGCCACCCACTTGGGCCGGGAGACCTTGCCCATCTTCGTGCCAGAGGTCCGAAAGTTTGCGCAGGACAATATGAAGCAAATCATGGAGCACTACTGTCACTCAGCTGAATGACCAGCATGTTTGAACTCAGTTGGGGCCAGCTATGTGCTCCCAGAAGTCGGGCTGGGATTCACCCCTTGGGATGTATATAGTTGGAACATATTTGCACAATTTTGCGCACTAGCCCACACAGAGGTGACCAGGACATCCTGATTCTCTTGGTCAACGCACCCTTCATTGTACGATTGGTGCTGGCCTTTGCCACCACCTTCATGGCCCGCCGGCAATCAAACCGCATCAGAGTCTTCTCCAGCGCTACTGGAACTGAAATCCAAAAGATCCTACGAGCAATTGGGCCTCCGACCATGTTTCCTGAAAGCCTCGCAGGCACAACAGCAGACATTGCTGAGTGTTCCATGCACATCAAGCTGATGCATTTTTGAGTGACTGATCGGGCAGAATGAGTGGACAAGACTTTGGCAAGTTCAGATTATATATATAATATATATACACAGTTTGCGTATTGATAAGATTGGATAAGTAAATTACTGCAATAGTGTCAGTAATACTAATGAAACACATTGGACATGATATCTATCTCGACTGCATCCGCTTGATCACAATTGATGTGCAAAGCCGAAGGCACGCGCAAGGCGGAGGACATCCCGTTCTATTTCCCCCTTGCCCAGAATGATGAGAAAAGGCAAGCCTTAGTTGAAGGGATGCAATATCATTTAATTCAACCCAGCAATGAGCATGGCTGTGCTCCTTTCCTTCACATGGTCAGGATCAAAGAGTGGATGTCTCGGACAGCTTCAGGGATCACGCGGGGTGGAGCTACCAACCTTCAAGGACTCCAAGGTGTTCAAGTAGCTCCACCGGAAGATGCGACAGCTACACCGATGGCACCCGTGACCCCGGAAGCTTCGCCGGCTTCGCCCATCATCAATACTGAGATGGAGGAGGCGCGAATGGACCCGAAGACATCCCCTCACTGACAGTAAATTGCAACAATGAGCTGTTCTTGCTTTCTGCAATTTTGGAACACTTGAGCTCAAGTGCAGTTGTTATTCTACATGCGCAATGATCAAATGAAAGTCTATAATATATATATATATAGAGATCGTGTGCGAGTGTGTGTGTGTTTGTGTGGGTTGTTTTGTTTGTTTTTGTGTTTGTTCGTTTTCTTGTTCTCTCTCTCTCTCTACACTTTGCCCCTGACCCCTGTATTAGCTTCTGCATACGTATATTTTAATCACATATATTTATATATATATACTATATATATATATGTGTGTGTATGTATGTTTATTACTGACGTACAATGGATCCTACAGTCGCACGCAGGATGCAAAGAAAAACAGCGCCATGACAGAAGTGAAGCCGGCAGTGGAGCTCGATGAGCAGCCAGCACCGGCCGGAGGGTGGTTTTGTTGCGCAGCACCTTGAGAAAGCTCAGGACCAACCGAAGTCGCCTGAAGAGGGGGATATTTGTGCGGAAATGATCTTCGGACATTTGTGCGGACTCAATGAGCCTTAAAAGGCATCATGTGAAGTTGGTTAGCCAGTCCTGAGACAAACATGATGTAGACTGTAGACCGTAGTGCTGCGAGTTGATGAAACAGGGTTGCAAAGGCACTCTGCCTATTTTTGCAGCCAAAGGATGGGTCGTTTTATCCTCAATTGGTCGCAATTTTGCATCATTCTGCTGGCAGTGCTTCAAGAGCAGTTCGGCAGATTGACAGTCCCTCTGAGTGTTTGCGGCTCTTTTCGTGCCCTCAAGGAAGGCACGTTTTTCTGCTTGGGGATGACGGCCTTGGCGAAAAGCGACAGCTTTGGAAGACCTCAGCCTCAGCTCTATTTTATACAACTATGAACAGACTATATTGTACAGATCTATAAACCACGTATTGCAACTTGATAGGTATGGCAGGGAGTCAGAATAGGCATCCTGTTTGCCATATGTTTGGGGTTGGAGTCAGGGTCAACCTTGGGCTTTCAGCTTTTGGCTTGGCAGCTGGGAGAGCTTCGGGCGATGGCCTTCCTCAAAGCGCAGAGGTCTTGGGGAGTTGGCAGGCTTGGATGAATTCTCTCCTTGAGCCTGTGGCTGAGCTTAGCTAATCTCACGGGCTTGTGGGGTGCGAGGTGACATAACGAAGCAGACAAACAGACGACCCGGCAGCACGCAGCCCGTATCCAACTGCCTAGCCTAGCCACTAAATAAGGGATCAGTTCGTGACTAGAGAGAGAAAGAGAGAACAAACAAAAACACACAAAGGTGATTGAGGAATTGAGCCAAGACTGTTTAGGCTCGCGCCTGTTGTACTCTATTATGGGAGCACTTAGTGGTGGCACGTGTGCTGCGAGTAAATTGTTCACAATTGTCAACTTCTGAGGATTGCTCCTGGCCATCGCCTGAAGAGCTGTCAAAGGTGCAAGAAATTCGGGAAAGATGTGCAGCAGCTCAGCGATATCTTCAGCCCGTTTGAGTCGAGGGTCCGGGTCCGGCTCTAGCTTCCAAAATAGACCAGTGGTTCACAACTGGACTCTCCGGAGCTGCTTGATGGAAGAAATCTTCGCGTTGATGCCCTTTGAAGCCTTCAGTGCCCAGATGAAATGACACTTGTGCCACCCTTTGCGTTCCGGCAAGCCACGCCTTGGGGGCCGTGTTCCGGTCATCCTTCCAGCTCAGGCGGAGCTCGCTGCACTGCCACAGTCGCCTCGAGACGTGGTGGGTGACATCCGCATCGCTCGCTTTTTGCGGTACTGTGGAGGGAAGGTTCCTGAGGCGGCAAGCGACGTTCCATGGGCATGATTGAAGGATGTAGCTCGATATAGCTCGAATCATTGACTCAGTTGCATTCATTTGGCGGAAGTGACTTGAGATTTCAATCAATTATCAGCAGAAACAAGATAGATAGATAGATAGAGATTCAATCCGACCAAGTGTCCATGCCTTTGTTGTTTGGGTGTTTGATGTTCGACCGCTTTAGTTCATGCTTGTTAAACACATCTCATAACCATTGCTGGTCTCGGGCGGCAGGCGGCCACGGGTTTCGCCGAGTTTCTGAAATGGCGAGTGCAGGAGAAGGTCGATGTGTTGCGACAGGCAGGAGTTGAAGATATATGTATGTATTTATTGTATGTATATTTATATGTATATATACCGCTCATTACACGTAGTATGTAAACAGCTAGCTTCAGATAGGAAAGTAGAAAAATACAGAAAGAGAGGGAGGGAGAGTGTGAGAGCGAGAGAGCGCATGCTGTTTCTCTCACATAGCAGATTCGCTGAAAATCAGCATTGCACTGTTTTGTACATTCCATGCTTAGCCGCGTAGCCCAGTTCACCAGATTCAGTGTCCTTTCGCATGTCGCTTACCACAGACTTGCCCAGGGCATTATAGACTTGAAACCGGACGAGTTTATCGCGTGGGTGGACTCGGTCCGTTCGCCCTTCGCACCGGTCTTTGTACCCTTCTTGGGACAAAGCAAGGACTGCCAACATGTTGCTGGATTGCATGATGCTATGAAGTAGCAGACTTTGGATGGTGCACTGCGTGATTTTTCTGATATGATGCTATGATGCTTGATAATTGTGCGGGGTCAGAGTATGCATAAGGCTTGACATGACGATGTATTTTAATTACTGTAACGCAGTCAAAATTTTATAACCATCCTGGAGTAATTAGATAGAATATGAACCATTCTAAAAGCATGACCAGTTTCCTATTTGTCCTCGGATTTTCCATATTCTATTTTAGTTCAGGATGACTATACACATCAGGGCTCGCACGAACAGTAACACCATTCGGTTCAACAGGAAGGCCACATTGTTATTTTTGCAGCGCCTGGGTACTTCAAGGCTGGGTCGCTGAAATCAGCGGTGCTTCAAATTGTAGCAGGGCAAAGTGCAAGACATGATGCAACCACATGTTTTTGACAACAGTGTATCGTCAGGCAACGCAGTTCGTGAACAAGCGGCCTGCTTGTCACACGATGGAGAATGACCTTATGCTGGCCCGTGCAGGGGTGGACACTTGGCCACACTTGGCGTCCTTCTTCATGCGGGTTCATGCGCGTTCAGTGTGAGAACATGGTTTTTGAAGTTCCAGGCAACTACTGTTATTTGAAATGTGTGTTCATCCAAATTGCATTGTTTTTGTCCTTGCGTGGCTGTCGCAAGGAATACATGATGAAACTTGTGGATGACAATTCCTACGAGAGGCATCAGATGCTGTATTCGATCAAAGTGCGCCTCGATGGCAAACCCTTAAACAGTGAGAGTTGCGGTGCAAGGAAGGTCCCACGGCTTTTCTAGCGGCAAGTCAAACTTAATTGATGTGCGTTTAGCTTTTTCGGCTTTTGATAGTCTCTCCCCTCAGTGACTCAGTCAGCTATTTCAAGTTGCCATCAAAAGCCAGCTCCCCTGGTCTCCCTATAAAATCCAGGCTGGGCTAGTTGGCATGTGCTCGCCGGCTCAGGATTGATGCCGCCCACTTGGGTCGGGAAACTTTGCCCATTTTCGTTCCGGAGATCCGGAAGTTTGCACAGGAGAATGAAAAGCAGATGATGGACATGTACTGCAACCGAGCTTCAGAGTTGGGTCACGGCTGTTCTTAGCTTTGCTACTGCACTGTATTCCACATTCTATGTAGGGTAACGCATGGCATGTTTCTCATACACAACTGCTTCAAGCAGAGGCGATCAGGATATTTTGATTCTGGTGCTGAATGCTTCACTCATTGTCCGCGCCGTGCTGGCCTTTGCCACCACCTTCATGGCCAAGCAGCAGTCAAACCGCATCAAGGTCTTTGCGAGCGCTACTGGCAAGGAAGCCCAAAAGACGCTCCGGGCTGTCGGGCCTCTGAGCATGTTTCCCGAAAGTCTCGGAGGCGCTACTTTGGTTTGCTTGCCCGAATAAGGTGAAATTGGACCTCCAAAGTTAGGAAAGAAGCTCCGTGTTGACCCCGTTGATGCTGAGAGTGTTGGAGGCACACGGAAGGCCGAGGACATCCCGTTCTATTTCCCACTGGCCCAGGATGATGAGAAAAGGCGCCACGGTTCTAGAGAGATGCTTTCCATGTTTCATTTGTCTCGTGATGTTTAGCGCAGCTTGACTGAAAGTCTTTGGAATTTGCACTGGACAGGATCGAAGAGTGGATGTCTCGGACAACTTCTGGCATCACACGGCATGGAGCTACCAGCCCCCCTGGCACCAGCCCAGCCTCTGATGGCGAGCTGACCTGGCAGATGCAGGGCAAGCGGACAGAGGCATCACCCAAGGATGTTGACGGACGTGCTGCGTGCATTGTTAGAGTAGTAGCTAGTGTAGTGTGCAAGTCCTTATGTGAGTGCCATAGACCATATTGTCCTGCGAGGCGAGCAAGGGTAGAATGACCATCATGTCAGCAGATGCGGGATGAAGCTACATAGTGTTTGACTGTGAAATACTGGAGACTGGGTGCTAGTTTCCTGTGCGGCAGGCCGAAGGCGAGAAAGAGATTCAGCTTGATGAGCCAGCGCCCAGCGGAGGATTGTTGTGCTGCAGCCACTGATTCCAACTGTCATATACACATATATACACATATTGGTGCGTTGAGGCAGGATCAAAAGGGGCTCCAAATGGGCCTCCAAATTATGAACTCAAGGGCGTGATGACTGGATAGACCGATCCCGAATTGCTATTGATATCGTCCTTAGTCCCTACATTGCGATATCAAGGACACTACTGTATACACACATGATTTCTTCCCTCAACTGCAAGCATGCGGCAAGAGAGCACCATCATCTGATCCTCGTCAGACGTTTTTGACACATTAGAGCTGGCCTTAAAGGTCGAGCCCTTGCGTGGACGACCTATATACTGTACATCAAATAGCACAGGCTCCTCGATGAGCGCAATGCTCCAGAGATGGACGGAGGCCAAATCTCAGAGTGACATCCATCGATATATGTGCTAGTCAGCAGGAGCCTGGTACAAGATCCTTTAAAAGGATCGTATTATTTTGGTAGATAGTCCCATTTTCGCGTCTGGATTTGCTGGACGTTTGTGAGCCTTCCAGTGCTGATCCGAACACGCCCGAGATCCCGAGTATGCAAAAGAAGGAATGGTTGTGTCTAGAGCATATTGAACTAAAGCACCGGGCAGGTTGATTCTTACATGATAGAGCTGTACTTGATCCTACAGCCATTGTCCACAAACCTATTGGCAAACAACGCTAGCCAGAGGTTGTTTGTTGTTGTCATGTGTTGCCGATCCTCACAGCTTAAGGTATGAATGCAGCAAACTTCACAACTTTCTCCACTGGCATCGGGTGCCCCGCCTGCAATAGCCTGCATTCTTGAAAATTCTTGATGTGCAATGTGATGTGTTAGGCATGGTTTCTCACATGCTTACGCAGGTCTCACGGCTTTGTGTTGTCGCAGAAGTACTTGCATGTGCTGGCCTCAGGCACATATTATGACTTATGATATGCCATGATGTACATGTATTATATATATATCAACTATTAACACACTCCATGAATTACACATGTTGTCATTTTTACATTTGGAGAGTAGAGAGACATGCTGGAGGATGGCATGGTCCCCAAATGCTTCACTGCATGGTGACTTTTCGTGCAGAGGACTACCCCAGCGAGTTCTATCGGATGCAAGGTGCAGTGTTGCGGTATAACTATATAGGCACTGGCACTGACAACCTTTAAACTTTAAACCAAAAAGGCTCCAAAGTCACAAAGGCGACCGCACAAAGCTGCACCACGTATTTCTGAGTAAGGAGTGCAGAGCTGGCCTTGTGTTCTTTTGTGCTACAGAAGGTGTCCGGTTGGCACGGCAATCCTCTAGGGATGTTTTCCAAGTCAGCGACGCAGTGGAGTTTGGTTCAGAGTCAGGTCATTTTGCTAACTGCTGATTCTTTTGGTATGATAGGGCTTCCAACATTGGCAGTCTACATGCAATGCCGTTTGAGTGCTTTCGGCATTTTGACCACAGGTATGGGCTTGATGAAGCAGCTCCCCAAGAACACTGCAGTTGGAGGCTTATATAGATAAATCATCCAACTTGCTTAATGGTGCTTACTCATTGGTGGTGGGCAGTTTGTTAGTGGATCCTTCACAACACACACACACACACTGACAACAACGTTTTTAAGGACAAAGAGCTGGACAAGCCTGCGTATGTCTTCGACGTGCGCCTTCCGAGTGAACTGGTTCGTTGATGTTGGGCGACATCGATGTTGGGCGGGGAAACCCCGCCCCATGGCATCCCGTGGCTCCACCATGCTCCACCTGGCTTTGTCTCTGGAAATTCTATAAAATTCCTCAGGGTGGTCAGCCTTCAGGACACAATCTTCTTTTTCCAATTAAGACCTCTCTCCCTCTCTCCGGAAAGGCATGCGATTTCGGCACCTAAGGCATCCTATCCTAGTATAAGGATTCGTGGGCCCTAAGCCAGGTGAAGTACTCGATGTCAGCAAGTATCATTGCAGCAACTTGGTGCAGTGAGTCATGGCGGATGGTGTGGGTGGAGGGAAAATACAACCCAAGAGAGTCCCGCCAATGCCATATTCCCTTCCGGGTTCCAATACAATGCAAGGACAGAACGTATGTTGCGCTGTTTGTCTAGTTTTATTTATATAGTCATTTTGCTCTTGGTTTGTTGGATCAGACTGGTAAGCAACTACTTTGGGCTGATTAAGGTAAATGGTATACAGAAACTTAAGGTAAAAGGTAGAAACATACAGAGATGGTACAAAACGATCGAACATGGTGCTGAGTGCAAAAGGTTAGCTAAGCACATTCTAACCAAGAACTCATGGGTGCGCGCAGGAGACCATGAATCCACGTTTGGGCCAGCTCACCAGGAGCACTGTGGAGTGGATCAGAGAGAGTTTGTTTTTTGTTTTTCTTTGTGTGTTTTTTTCTCTCTCTCTCTCTCTCTTTCTTTCTGTTTGTTTGTTTGTTTGTCTGTCTTGCTTTATTTCTGTCTCTCTCTCTCTCTTTGTGGGCTTGGCTCTCTCGCTTCCTTGTCACCTGCTGTTCTGGTGTCAAATGCGGACGAATTATGGGGGTTGCGAGTTCTCTTCCACACCGGGTCAGAGAGGCAAGCCAGAGAGAAAGACATCTCATTTGTGTAGGAACGATCCCGAGTACAAGTTCCGCATGTACCATGCAGCGCCGGCCCAGCCCTGTTTGAACTCTTTGTGTTGGTTCCCTTGCAAGGATTCTGAAGGTTGGCCGGTTACCTTTCGGGCTTGAGCAATGGCGTGATATGCATGTCCACGCAGCCATTGGCATCCGTGTTTGCCCGGCCTAAGTCAGCTTGGCACATCATGGCGAACCTGACGCTCTTGCGGATGCACGAGGTGCATAGTAGTCGAGAGATTGAAGCGCCGATCTGTGGCGACGTCACCTACAAACTCGGTGGGCAGTTTTGGCCCTCCCGGTGCTATGCAGAGCTTCGCGGGGACTGCATGTGTTGCTTTCGTTGGTTGGGAGATGCAGAAGATTTGTTCGAGAAATTGGAGCCCACGCGTTTTCAAACCAACTTGAAGCCAAGTTTGCTGAATGCTTTCAGTCTTCAGAATGTTCTCTTCCCAGGGTGTGTAGTATATATTGTTGTGAATAAGGCTTTGTGGCGCTTTCGTTGTAGGACCTGCTGCTGATCACCCGACGGCACAAGCAACAAGCGGCAATTCAGCTCTCAGGCGCAACGGTGGAGCTTCAAAGCCAGCTCAGCATCCGAATCGAGGAGCGGCCAGTCGTGGCGGAGTGAGAAGACTTCACAGGGGGAAAGACATCACAAGTAGAGAAACTCGTAGCTTCTTGTTACGTTCGTAGCGATTGCCTCCAACCTACTTGCGATGGCCTCCACCTAATAGCGTCTTGTTTAAGAACGGTTGAGTCAATACCACAACTGGCAAGAGAGTTGTCCGCTTCACATGCTTTTAAAAGTGCAACAACTCTAGCCTAGATTCTAGATTTAAGGGCTTACAGGGGCTCACCCATGGGCCGGGGAAAGGGGAAAGGAGGAATAGGCAAGCAGGGAGGGAAAGAGGGGCTTGTTTGGACGATGGTGGCGGCTGCGTGGATCGCTGGGGTGGGGGGTAGGTGTGGTAGCAGGTGGGGGTAATCGTGGGTGGTGGGGGATGGCTTCTCATTGTCGTCGTTGTTGTTGTTGTTGGTGGTGGTGGTGGTGGTGGCGGCATTTTTTGGTGCTGTTGATGTGGTTGGCGACAACCCGGCATGCATAACTCGCACCACAAACCCCTCTTAACTGCCGACCAAAAAAGTATAAATACATATATATATATATATACACACACCTATCTCCTTTCATGATCCTTCGGGCTGGACTGTGCCCGAAGCCAGGCGCCGGGCAGCCCAGTACTGGTGATGCGCTTGGACAATGGTGGTGAAACGGTGCGATGGATGACGGCACTGCAAGATGCCACGCAGAAGGACCAAAGCTTCCGAGACTTGCTCAATGATGTTCCCTTGCTGAGTCTCCTGTCGGCAGGGCTTGTGGGAGGTTCGAGGTACCAGACACGCCATCCAATTCCACAGGCAATCCTTCCAAAGAATTTGTGCTGCAGGTCCCAGGAGCAGTCCCAGGAGCGAATCAACACCGCAAAGTCCCACCATGGAAGAGCTCGAGGCTCTTCGCGCACGGCTTTCGCAGCAAGAGTCAAGCAGCAAAGAGATGGAGGAAGGTACCTCCGGCCCTATTGAGAGCACGCTACACGATGTACAAAACTCCTTTCGGTGCAGGGAATACTGGTAAGAATTCCTTTGAAGTTTCGCAACTACTGGGGGACTATATAATGCATAATCTTATAACACAGTTAAATAACACCAGCTACTGAAGATTAGTTGGCTAATTTTGTTTGCTTTCAACCCCTTGTGTGACCGGAGTGACCGGTGGAGCGGAGAAACATCCTAGGCATGAAGGCAGCTTGCACGAGGGCAGATGCAGCTGCACAGGCCTTTCACGATTCCCAAGATCGTGCCAAGTGCTTGGAGAAAGCTTTGTTGGAGGAGCAAGCTAAGCGAAAGCAAGTGGAGCTGATGGTCGAGGAGCGGCCGAAAAACGGTATAATTTCACAGGACTCCAGGCCTCCTGTCCTCCCTTAGTTCTCGATAAATCCAAGAACGTGTAGGACAGAGTTTGCACAAGGTTAAAGTCAAGAGCACGTGGAGAATACTCCACTCAACATCTCAAATCTGTGATTCTTGAAGATCAAATGTAAAATAATGTAAAGATGTCGATCACTTATATATATATATATATACACATGTGGTCCTTTTTGTTTGAGAAGCACTGCTCCTTTGTTTGAGAAGGAACTACAGGGGCAGCTGGCAAGCGAGGTGTCCTGTGGCAAGGTGCCATGGTTCAAGAATGTTCTCAAGGGTTGAGTCACCTTGTTTGCAGGGTCCAGCCTTTTTGAGGCAAAGCGTAGTCAGGACACTAGGCTGGTTTTTTGGATTCTATTGTGCAATGCGACTTGCACATAGATTGGCCCTGGAGATATTCAAGCGGACGCATGGCAAGAGTGAATGACGGCACTTCCTGCTCTTTTCATAGCAAAAGGAACCTAATAGCAGTGGCTTCCAACCTAAGAGCAATGGCCTCCAACCTAAGAGCAATGGCCTCCAACCCAAGAGCAATGGCCTCCAACCTAAGAGCCAATGGCCTCCAACCTAAGAGTGATGGCCTCCAACCTAAGAGCGATTGCCTCCTACCAAAGAGCGACGGCCTCCAACCTAACCGCGATGGCTGCCAACCTAAGAGCAATGGCATCCAACCTAAGAGCGATGGCCTCCAACCTAACAGCGATGGCCTCCAACCTAACAGCGATGGCTTCCAACCTAAGAGTGATGGCATCCAACCCAAGAGTGATGGCCTCCAACCTAAGAGCGATGGCCTCCAACCTAATAGCGATGGCCTCCAACCAAATAGCGATGGCCTCCAACCTAGTAGCGATGGCCTCCAACCTAGTCGCGATGGCCTCCACCCTAATGGCGATGGCCTCCAACCTAGTGGCGATGGCCTCCAACCAAATAGCGATGGCCTCCAACCAAATAGCGATGGCCTCCAACCTACTAGCGATGGGCCTCTAACCTCCAACCTAAGAGCGATGGACTCCAAATTGTTGTTTGTATTGGTCCCCCCGAGGCACGCGAGCCGGATGTAAAGCAGATTGACCAGCTCCAACGGCGCTTGGCTTGCGCCGAGCAACGCCTGAGCGGGGCGGAACTGGTGCGCAAGGCGGCTGAGGAAAGGCCAGACCGGGCCAGAGCAGTACTTTCTTTTCGCTTCATGATTTGCCCTGCTGTTTTCATATCAGCGCCCCGCGTTGGACTGTCTATATAGAATACGAATTGACATTGTTTTCACTGGTTGCGAGGCGGGAAGGGGCAGAGCAGAGATTGGCAGAGACAGAAGAGCTGCTGGAGCAAGCCGTGAAGAAGCTTGCGGCATCTCGGTATATATGGGCGCTCAGCGTGTGTTATCTCGGGCGTGTACTCATTTTGTAGACAAGAAAGGCGACAGATTTCTTCAGAGAAGGATGCACCAAAAGTAAAGATGTGACTCATGCGACTGCAACATGCAGCAACCACAACAAACATCATGTCACATATATATATATATATATCACCACCATGTCTCTCCTTCGAACCAGGACAGGCCATGTGAAGCCCAGCTGTTTGGAGTGCAGCTTTGAGGTCTCTGGGCAGAGCTCCGATGACGAAGCAACCCGCCGGCTTCGAGGTGTGGAGGCAGAGCTGAAGGCCTTGAAGCTCATCAAGGCCCAAGCAGATGCAGATGGATCAGAGCTGAAGAAAGATCTGGAGGCCATGGAATGTTGTGCATATTCACAGCTATTTAAATTTTTGGGAGGGTGATATGTCCTAAGCGACATGGACAGAATGAAACAAGGAGGCTAGCTTTTTAGAACCTTCAAGATGTAGTCAGTATGTAAGATGGGCATGCTGCTATGCCATCACAGGTGACGTGAAAGACCACAAAAATAAACATCAGCACGTAAGTGCCACACCAAAAAGTTTTGAAGGACAATATGTGTTTAATATTAACTCAACCCTTTGCCAGAACAAGCCAGACTGACCGGCTAGCGTTCGCTTAATTCCCGGCTGCCCCAGAAACTGCGAGGATATGTACTTAAATCATAGAGAATTCCATGATATGTTTTAACGATATGCTAAATGTTCTCTCAGAAGTAAGAAGTAAGATATCTAGGAGAGTTCTGTGCAATCTTACTTCTTACTTTTTCTTCTCAAACAACTTTGACATGTGTTTAAAGTTTTCAGAAATTCCCTAAGTACAGGAAGCAAGACTCCCTACAAAAGAGTGCTGTGCACTCTTACATGTTACTGTACTTCTTACATTTGATAAAAAAAATAACACATTCTAAAATAGTCTGGAATTCGCAAAGTACTGGACAGTTTACTTCCGTGATTCCGAGAACAGTGTGTATGCATATATGTTCATATATACATATATATATATGAATGAAAACCTGGTACCCCCCCAGACTAACAAAGTCCAAGAATCTAATCTTTCCAAGATCGTAAGAAAACACCGCAAATATCAATAAAAGCTATGAACAACTAGGTTCACGGGGGGCACTATGTATATATATATATATATGTGTAATTGTGTGGGCCAGGTGGCTTTCAGACTGTCTTGATGCAGTTGACATGAAGTGTTTTCTGGTGAAATCGTTCCGAGCCTTCCAGGAGGCCAAGGCGAAGATCACCACTTTGCAACAGACAGCCAACCAAAGCGAAGCTGCCAAGGTGGCTTTGGAGGCACAGGTGGAAACACTGCAGACCCGCGTGGCAGACCAAGAGGCACGCCTGATGGATCAGGATGAGCTCCAGCGTGCGTTGGCAGAGCAACAGGAGGCAAAAGATACCCTGGAGAAGTTGGAACGGCTCTCCAAGCAGGAGTCGGAGGAGCGTTTGGGGTTCTGACCTTGAATGAACACAAGCAAACCAGTGATCGACCCAGCCTGTATGAGGGTTGCTGGAACATGTATATAAATGTACGTAATTGTATATCAGTGCAAGACAGAATTACTGTAAGTCAGCAATAGCCTTCGGCTGGACATTTTTTTTAAGTGGTTTGATTGCAAGACCGCGATACCCAAAGAGTTGTAGATGTTGATGTATAAGACAACCTGAGACCGATAGGGTACCACACAAATGCATGCAAAGAGACGTGCCGAAACCTGAAAACCGATAGGGGCCCACCCAAATTGTAGACTTAGACTACTTAGACGTCCTTGGCGGGTAATAAGTCCGACATTCATATACATTTTCAAGTATATGCCGTGACATGAGTCAGATCTGCCGTTTTGTTTCCACTAGTGCACAATGTGACGAATTCAAGTTCAGAGATTTCATTCTTCAGGTTGGACAAATGTAACCAACTCAATTAGAATTGCATACTGGAGGAAGTGCAAAAGTTGAAGGCGTCTTTGGAGTCCTCCGAGGCGCTGATGAACATATACGTTTCCGGGGCGTTGAGTAGGTTTGCCCCGAGTTTTCCCTGCAGGCAGAAACCAAAGTGGCGAAAGCCCGTATTCAGGAGATGGAGAAGTACGTACTGGCCGCTCAGGGAGCAGAGAAGCTGGCAGCTCGCACTTCAGAAGATGAAAAGACGATTGCAAAGTGCAAAAGTTGATGGTTTGTGAGTGTATGTATTTTTTACTAGTGCACGCCGCATGGCTTTTTTTTGCGAATAGACGGGCAGGTGTGGTTTTGGAGCAAGGATGAACGAGGGTGTTTCCCCACCTGACCTGTCAGATTCTATGTCAGCTGGCTGGCAGTGTTCCCCGCCGGACCTCACCACGAGCTTCGGCTGTGTTCCCCGCCGGACCTCAACCGCGAGCTTCGGCTGGCAGTGTTCCCCGCCGGACCAACCGCGAGTCAGAAGATATGCCAGATAGAACGCCAGAAAGAATGTCAGAAGATACGCCAGAAAGAATGTCAGAAGATATGCCAAAACAAATGCTGGAAAGAATGTCAGAAGATATGCCAGAAAGAATGCCGAAATAATGTTGCAATACGTGCCAGGGAATTGTCAGATAAAAATGTCATGGTGGGGGTCGAAGTGAAAAATGTGTTTTATGCAGCCGTGCTTTATTTTCATTTTGGTGTTGTTCTACATCCGTTTTTTGTGCAGGTTATTTTTTTATTCCGACCGTTTCTCACAGGTTTTGTCTTAATGCCGGAGGGTGAAATTTAACATAGCGTACCTTTTGTGAGCTCCGAGAGTAAGTTGCAAGAAAATACCATGCAAGCGTAGAGTCCTTGTGGGTTGCCCGAGGATAAAGCTTAGAGGGGAAAGGAACCATGCAAACGTAGGCGTAGCATACCTTTTGTGAATATACTTTTGTGAGCACCCAGGGGTAAAACTTAGAGACAGAAGGAAACATGGAAACAAAGCGTACCTTTGTGAGCCACCCAAGGTAAAGTTTAGAGGAAGGAGGGGCCATGGATACGCGGCATACCTTTTGAGAACCATCCCAGATCAACATTTACAAGAAGAAAGGGCGATTCCAACGTAGCTACCTATTGTGACCCCTGGATGGAAAGATTGGAGGAAGAAGCGTTTTGTGACCCTTGTGACGGTAAAATGTTGAGGAGGAAGGAGAAGCTCCATTGCAGCATACCTTTTGTGCGAGCCGGTTTGTTAGCTTGGGGGGGTTGTGAGGCCTTGTGTTATTCCAATGTATATAGCACACCTTTTGTAGGCCGCTCGGTTGCTAAATTGAGAGCAGAAAGGAGCAACTCCAACGCGCAGAAAGGAGTCACGTCCGTTTCTTTCACACTGTGCGTGCTCTTTGGGAGGGGCGCTGCGCCCTGCCCCCAAGCCCCTCTCCTGCACGACGAAATCTGCAACTTTTCCGATTTCTTGTTTGCCCGGAAATCTGACTTTTAAGAGCGTGGCGTAGCGGGTGTTTTTTAACGAGGGCGGTGGGTGGGTGAAAATGTTTCTTTTCATCAAACAGCACCCTGAGCTTGCAAGAGGCCCCATGGCCAGCACCAGCATAAAAACGAACCTGCAACCATTCCCGCATCAAAAGAACCCGAATCCGCACAAAAAGGATGCCGAAACACAAAAGAATAAGGCCACGCCAGCGCCCCGCAAGCGGAGAGGAAGAGCAAGACGAAAAAGAAGAGAGGAACCAGGATGAGCACAGCAACCTGCCTAAGCAGACTATACTGTAAATTAAAGATAAATTGACAAGAGAGAGAGAGAGAGACGCAAGAAAGACAAGGCAAAAAAACACAGCCCCGCACACCCAGCCTAAAGATAAAAGTGAACCCCATAGCACAAAAGAACAGGTGGGGCGTAAGAAGACAAAGTGAAAGACAAGAAACAAACGATGAGAAGAAGAAGGAGAGGAGCCTGAGGAAGAGGTACACACAAAAATAACGGGCCGCATAAAGAGAGAGCCCTCCTAGCCTCCTGCAACAGGAAGATCAGGAAGAAACAACATCACCAGCACAATAAAACAAACCGCCCGCATAAAAAATTGATCCTGCATTTAAAGGAACGTCCGTATATAACAAGCAACCGCCCGTAAGCAAAAGGAACCCCCAGCCTCCCGCATAAAAAGGAACCGTCCGCATAAAACAATATACAAAATATATTACCAACGAAAGAGCCGCCAAAGGACAACATAATCACCAACATTAAAAACAAAAATAATAAAGATCAAAACCACCGGCATAAATAAAAACTAAAGCATTAACACAAAAGTCAGCATAAGAAAAACATAATCCCCCTACGGGTAATAAGTCCGACATTCATATATTCTTCAAGTATATGCCGTAACATGAGTCAGATCTGCCGTTTTGTTTCCATTAGTGCACAATGTGACGAATTCCAGTTCAGAGATTTCTTTCTTCAGGTTGGACAAATGCAACCAACTCAATTAGAATTGCATACTGGAGGAAGTGCAAAAGTTGAAGGCGTCTTTGGAGTCCTCCGAGGCGCTGATGAACATATACGTTTCCGGGGCGTTGAGTAGGTTTGACCCGAGTTTGCCCTGCAGGCAGAAACCAAAGTGGCGAAAGCCCGTATTCAGGAGATGGAGAAGCACGTACTGGCGGCTCAGGGAGCAGAGAAGCTGGCAGCTCGCGCGTCAGAAGATGAAAAGACGATTGCAAAGTTGCAGGCCTGTAAGTTACTCTCCTAATTGTTCAAGCAAGATGCAAACATGCTTTGCCCCCTTAGCGAACCCCTGTGTTCGAATGGTTCAACAGTTCAACGTGTTCAGTCCTTGCTCCCCGCAAGTTTGCACAACATACAAACCAACTGCGTTTGAATCATGGATTGTGAAGATATCTTGTTGCGCATCGTTTCTTTGAGGACCAGGTAAATGATACCAGAAAACAGATAACGTGGGTTAGGATTATTACGGGGATGACTTTTTCGGAATGACGGGGTGGGCATGGGTTGTTAATGTTTGTGTGGTGTTCCTGTGGCGAAGCAAAAGTTTTAAAGAGGCCGGTTCAGTTTGGTGTATACCGTAAGTGGAGGCTCACGGCCTGCAAGCAGCTGCAGAGGTTTGGCCAAAAACTGCAAAAACGAAGGCCGTTGGCCAACGTATGACAACGCATGAGCTCTCTTTTTGGCTACTAGGAAAAAGGCGGACATCGTTGGCATGCTGAACCGAAGCGTTCCGAATGTGTTCAGTTTGCTGTTTTCCCGAACCTGATGAGTTGGGAGTTCATTTGGTGAATGGCCTGCTTACCTCCTATCTCATTTCCTTTTGACCAGGGTATTTTCAAAAAACCCTTAGTTTTAAGGTTATGTGTTAGGACTTACCGCCTGGGTCCAAGTCCCAACCCATCTTCCCCCAGTATATATATATATATACTATTATTGCTATTTGAAGACCGTTTGTAAAGCATGAGAGGCATGTAAGGTGTGTTTGAACTTGCTGTCCACAGAGGAAGCGGTGAGCACCTGTGTTGCCAAGAAAGGCCATTAAACCCAACAGAAATCACATTTAAACCCTCGACACATGGATTGCAATAAAACACATGGGATTATATTCCCTGTATATGACGAGTATATAACTTTAACTTCAACTCCATTTTGTTGTCCTCGGCTTTTTCTTCCAGTGACCACACACGGCTTTCAGAAGTTCAAAACACTGGGATGCCTAGCGGCCTATCATTTGTTTTCCACGGCCTTTTAGTGCTTCCCTGCAGGCTGAAAATGCAGCAGCTAAAGCTCGCACTGAGGAGATGGAGAAGCGAATGCTTGCTAGCGAGGGTGGGGCAGAGAAGCTGTCAAATCGTGCTTCACAAGATGCAAAAACTATTGCGGAACTTCAGGAACGCGTGGCCTCCTTGGCACCTTGCAATATACTTAGCAATATTTTTCTAGCAATGTATTCAATGTGCTTTGGTATGCCCCCATGCACGGTGAGCCTTTTTGACCAACTTCGAGCTGAAGGAGAAAGAGCTGGGAAACGCAAAAGAAGACGCGATTTGGAAGACAGAGTTTCTCGTCATGGGGGGTTTCATGGTGCAACGATGTGCAACGTGTGTTTTTTGCTTTCAGAATTGCTTGCGCTGTGGGTCACTCATCAGCCTCATCAAACATATGCAACAAACAATGGCATTGGGGGTCCAATCGTGGTGCCATTAGCCGAAGCATAGGTCCAGGCTTGGACGGTCCAGGTGCAAGTTTTGACGAGGCTTGCGCGGCAAGAATCTGATCAAGGCGCTGCAGACCTCAAGTGTCAGGTGATCACTTTGGAGGGCCACTCATTCAGCAATGGGGGGGGTGCTTTGCAGAGTGTTTGAACCATATGTGATGATCAGGCTAAGGCGGCTAAGCGCCAGAGCAACAGCAAGTCATACACTGTAGTTATATGTGTGTAGCCTGTGCATGCCACTCCGCGCAGGGACTTTTGTACTTTTGCTCCTCTTTTCTCAGGGTCTCAGAGTGTCAAACTCTTAATATGATGAGGTCGAACACCTGGGCCCAAAGACATGGACGAGAGTGAGAGTGCAGCATTTTTTGTCTTCTCAGTGCTCTTCCCTTTGTTGCAATGTCCGACTCCTTCAAGGCCAAGTCTCCGAGCTCAAGCGGCGCCTCTCCGCTGCCGACCAGCGCTTGAGCGCTGAGCAGTCCCGGCGCAGCGCAGCGGAGGACCGTACCAAGCAGACCGAGGCACGGGTTGGGTCAGAAGTGGTCAGACATGGTCAGACCGCGGCGAGAAAGACTGGCGAAAGACCCGGAGATAAAGGATAGATAAGGTCAAAAGTCAAAAGTGTGTCTTCCCGATCTTTTTGCCATCAAGTGCCTGGCGAGGAGCGGCTGGCAGATTTGCAAGAGGAGATTTGGGAAAATGGAATATCCTGAGACTTAAGATAATCTCCATCAATCTCCATCACTAGTCGTGTGGACTGGATATGTTGCCTCCGGGGCATTTGTCCATAGATTGCTCAATATGTTGAGTCATGAGTTTCATTCCAACAACCTGTTTCCTTGGCTCAGACCACCCAGGGCATTAGTCGCATTTGTCACGCCAGGACGGCAGCACGACCCACCTGCAGGGGAAGCTGGAAGCCGCAATGGTCAAGGCCAACCGAGAGGCTCAAGCAAGGACCGTGGCGCAGCGTCAGCTGGTGGCCGCCTTGAAAGCTGCCACCGCAGCCAATGCCAAGATCAAAGCGGCCGAGCGTGCCAGTCTTGTTGGATAGTGAGCTCAGAGTGGTTTGCCGAAACTGTGTTCGACGTCGTGGACAGGTGAAATGTTTAGGCTCTCAGGTGGACCAAGAAGGCCACAGGGGATGTTGATGCTGCTGCTCGCAGAAGTGGTTGTTGGCGACACCATGTTTCTTCCAGGCTTTCCCCTAGGATGAAGGATCTGCACAGGATTTCAGGGGACCAGGCCCAAACATGACATGATAGGAATATCAATATCACCATACAATAGCATTTGGACACTCAGCACCTGACCTTTTCAGAACTGCTGATCCAGGGAAAGTCCGGCCCCTTGTATGGAGGGTCGATGTGCCTTCGTGCCATGCATGAATTCGGGTGTATATATATATAGACTTATTGTGTTTCAAGCCCGTCATTGATTCAGCTGAAGTAGATCGTAGTCAAATGCACTTGGAGTGTGGCTGTGTGTTTGAAGTCAGCCGTTTGTCCAGCCGTTTTGTGGCAAAGCCACAGCAGCTTGACAAAGGCCATGAGGCTGATCAAAAAAAGTGCGAGATGTCCAGCGTTTGTGCCACTGATCCCTGTGGTCAATGTCGTGCGCACTTCTGTGTCCTGTCAGTTTGTGTTGGTTTGGGAAGTGTGCCAGGCATCCAACTGACTACTATCTCGAGCAATGTAGCCGCCTTATCCAAGCAGTATGCACAACAGCGTCGCCTCCTGACCGTGCCTTTCCGCGGTAGTACCTGTAGCCGTAGCCCTTGGACACGTGGAATGCTGGTAAGGTGACTTTCATGCTACAGCATTTTCGATACAGTAGATTAGCAGGTTTTCCTAGACTCACTGTAGCGTAGCCGTAGCATGCCGTAGCAGTGTATGCAACTAATGACTAGTGTCATTGTGCATTCGCGAGGCATGGCAGATTGGGTTTGGCTCTTGGGATGCCGCTGTTTATCACGCAGATACAACACCCGAAGAGCAATGGATGCTGACCGCATGGTGACACTCACACCAAAACCGGGTGTGGGTGCCCGGCCAGCTGCAGCTAAGGACAATTATCAAAAGATGTTCAAGGAGCAAGGTTGTGAGCGAGAGTGCCCCTGGGTGTTGTTTGAGTTCATCCAGGGCAGGGCGACAAAGTTTGGACCAGGAAGGATGCTGGTGAGTCAAGAACAAAGAAGCAGTCACATTTTGTAAATTTGTAGAGCAATGCACTTTTGCCCAACAAAATGCACTTTTGCTGGGAGACCTGATGCACATGTGCGAATGACTGGGAAGGTATGTCAAGTATCCCTACACGCGGGACATGATAGAGGTGCAGATTCAGATTGCGGCTTTCTTGCCAAACAGCTCAAGACCATATATCATATATCCATATAGGGTTGCGTTTTAGCAAGGTTTGATTCCACGGGTGGTTTGTTCACGTCCGATTCGAAAGCACTGCGTTGATTCTTTGTTGAGTGAAGCAAAAGTCTAGTCTAGCAGCATCTAGCAGCCACACATCAATGTAAGTGGATTTGTACAGTAAAATATTGCTATGTGAGTGCCCCCGCTTCAGTTGCTTAAATTGACCGCCAGGGATACTTCAAGGAGTATTGTGCAATGACCGGTCTTTCAGCTGCGATCTTAGAAGCGAGTGCTGCTTTGAAGCAATCGGCCAGAGTCCCAAGTGAGTTTTTTGTTTATTGAGAGCCAGGATTTCTTGGCTGGGTAATTGCATCTCATAACGCCTGGTTGCTAGTTATGAGTGCAGTCACAGTCTATTTAGACACTGTCGGCATTGTCACAATCACACCCCAGTAATATCGGCAGGAACTTCTTTATGCACCAGTATGGCTGTATGTGTAATGTTTGGGTTCTGTTACGTTGAGGGTGTCAATTTGGTTTTCTGGGTTGCAAAACAGTGTCCACCTGAATGTGCTGAGGTGTCAGCAGACGGTCCCGCACCCAATGCGTCCAATTCTCAAGAGGCAAAAGTAAAAAGCAAGTGAAGAGATGAAAAGACAAGGTAAGCTAACGAAAGGATCTTTGTGATAAGGCCCCTTGAGGGGAGGCCTTATGATTTCAAACACCATTTGTTTCCCATCTGCAAGGTGAGGGTTGTGAAATATAATGAGTGCTGTCCTCTCCTCTCCTTTCCTCCTCGTCCTCCTCTCCTCGCCTTCTCCTCCACAAGTACCAGATCGCAGTGGGCACCACCGGACCTCAACCACGAGCTGTCAGGGCACCACTTTGAACATGCAAGATCATGCAAGGAAACGTGGAATTTTGAGGGTTGGTTTGACCCAAAGCTTCATAATGCAACATGCGTGCCTCCCAAAACACAAACCAGAGGGTTTGTAGGCATTCATGGGGTGACTTTCAGCTGTGCGCCTTTACCAATCGCACACGCAAATGTTGCCTTCCTGAACCCTACAACTGTGGTTTTTGTTGCTTCCATATCGAGGTGTGTTCACGGCAAGTCCTCGAAGCACACATATACAAGATATACGCCGATGAATAGATAGTTACAATATTTACACATGCACAAACATAACATGCAACATATCATCGCATATATAGATGCAGATCAGCGTCGTGGTTTAGTAAGACACAACAATTATGTTCGTACTTTGGATGCGGATTGTGGTGGCTTGCAGGAACCGGGTCAGGATCCCAGCCAAGGCCGCCCCTCACCGACTGCTTGGAGACGGTTCTGGGTGCCCTTCCAGCCGAGAGCCGAATGCACTCCTTTCATTGAATGGTTTGCGGGTGATTCAAAAACCACACAAGACAGTGAGGAGTCTTTCGATTCCATCAATGCCGACTCAAACATCTCCAGGTAAAGCAGAAGGCCCCCAAGGCCTCATGTTGACTTTGCCGTCATTTGTTTTTGGTTTTGATCGTATCACATGCTTCCGGGAAATGTAATCATGCCAACGGTGTTTCTCAACTCTCAAGCATGCAGCATGTTGCTCGCCGCCACCAACTCTGCTGCTCCCAGTGGCAGAAATTTCAGAAGTCATTTGCTAGCTAGCTTCGTCAGCTGTGCAGAGGTTGGGCGAAAAGATATTGGTCAAAAAACACAACCAACATCGCAAAAATATGTTGAGCTCAGGCTTGGGCAGAGGACAAGAGAAATTTGGAAGGCATGGATCAGAACCTGCTCAAGGACCACTTCACGGATAGTTGCCGGTGTTTGAACGCCAGGCTGTTGTGTAGTATGGCGGCGTGCGGTATTCCTTTCCGGCAGTGAACAACCTTTCGAAATCGATGCTATGTAGGTGCAAGATGGTGCAAGTCATGTGAGTCCACTTGGGACGGTCTTAACTTATAAACTATGCGTTGATGCCTGGATGTTTGATACTTAAAAGTTACTCGGGATACTATTCGCAGGGTGGCACGAGACGATACCTGATGCTTAGCAGGTCTTGCAGCACTTTATATAATCACACAGTGGCACTAGCAGATCCTGGTAGGGTGGGCAGCGTGGGATAAGAAACCGCTCCGCAAGGACCGAGGTTGGTGGTGTGGCCCTCACATTCCGAATACCTTGAACCCTATTTGTCTCAAGTATATCAACACTTAGCAAATGAGTGGGTGGTGCTGTTGCTCGTTACTCCCTGCTCGATGTTGGGCCGCTGATCAACCCCGAGGTCACAGCGATCCAATGGGCATGAGTTGTTTCGTCAGAGCGAGGCACGGCGAGAAGAGTAGGGATTGGAAGAGCCCGTCCTGTTCAGACTATGAGTTTCTTTTTCTGCGCATTCTTCTCGCAATGCGATTGCGATTCAAGGGTGAGCTACATGAGCCCGTGACAACTCTTATTTGGACCTGTTAGTGCACGCAAGGTAGAGACTTGGAGTGTGAAGGGGAAACTGTCCATCAATTTTTTCCTAGAATTCCTCTAACAGGCAATCCAAGCTTTCTTGTCTCCCCCTTGATCCCGTTGCTACCTCTTCAAAAGTGCAAACGGCAAAAGGTTCCCCCGGACGAGCTCAGTCACCAGCTAGCACTTGGCAGCTGAATGCAGCTGAGGGGTGCTGAGCGCGGAAAAGATGTTGAGATATTGGCCAAGACATTGAAAATCTACGATCCAAAGACTGACTGGTATTTTGCAGAGAATGATGGAAAGACAGCTAGCCAAGCCTTGTTGCGAATGATGACGTAGGGAGCAGTTTGATTGCTTTTGCTTGTGTTTTCTTGATTCATTCACGCAATACCTGCATCAGTCAACTTAGATCGGGCAGTGTGTTTAAAGACTTCAAGAAAATACTTGTATGCACCCTTCAAACACTGTAATATTGAAGACATATGGATCACTGGATCAGGGATTATCAACCAATATGCCTTGCAGGGGTTGGGGTTGACATGTTACTCTTGGCGACTGCCAAGGAGATTTGTATTTTGGCAGGTAGTTTGATTATGTTTGATTCAAATTCTTTCATTCGCCTTTGCGTGGCCCATCAAGTGGTCGTACCCTGTGTCCAAGGGTCAGGCAGAGGGAATGGGGTGACCTTAGTTTGGGACTGCAGGCGTAGATGTTGAAAGGGTGTTGAAGTCTCAGATTTGCCGGGTGACCCCTTCAGCTTGTACAAAGATGCGGCATTGGAGGCCTAGCTGCAGGATCATTCATTCTTTGATAGCAAACTTCGCAGAAGCTTCGATCAAAAAGTGCCCAGTGTTTATCACTGTTGTTCTATCTTGCTATGCGATGCTATGGGAAACCGGCCTTATCCTTGACTCTTTCACCTCGCGAGCTTCATGCTTCGTTGACCTGTTCAGTTTGCAGCCATGCGGATCCGGTAATGCCATGCGGGACTCACGATGTCCATGTTACTAATATGCAGCTTGGCCGCCCGCAGACCACAGGTGCAACTAGCGAGCAACGGCCTTTATTTGCGGTAGTGAAGATTAGTGGAAGGGGCGTTCCTTTTCTATAACCCAATGTCAGATTTAGCTGGCGAAACGAGGTAAGAACACCCCGAGAACGAGATGGGTATCCATTGCACCAAAACCGATAGAGGAATGGAGAACGACATCACACCCCAAAAACGATGCTAGATTGAACAACGAGGTCAGGAAGGCCCATGTGTTTGATAACTTAAGGGAGATATATATATATATTTTTTGGTTTCCATCGGTCACACACACACATATATATATATATACACATATAAGTCTCAATTTGCTTTTGTCATATGTTTTGCATGCTTGAATGAACCCTCATGATCAAGCTGTATTTATTCTTTTGAGGCATGAGAAGCTTTTACGGTCAGCGGCCAAGGAGTGTGCAATTGAGTTTTGGAATCGAGCCATCTGATGCCACTTGATTTGACCACTTGCTTGGACATTGGACAAGATATATACACACCTCACCCTGCTTTCCTAGAACGCAGGCTGTTTGGAGACAATGTTAAGTGTCACATGCATGTAACACGCATATAATATCCATTTGCATATATATATATAGTATAGGTACGAATGTTGTGGATGCTAAGAAGGCACCAATCCAAGTGGCAGCAGTGCTCGAGAGTGTTGAGCCGCAAAACAACCCAGGTCACCACCCCACAAGAGCTTCGAGCTGGGTACTACAGAGGGATGCATTGTGCCCGCAGAAACCTTCAGATTGTGCGTTTGCTGTACTGGAGAAGGAGCGAGGCCCCATCAACATCAAATCACTGAACTCATGTTTGATGGAGGAGAACCTGAAGAAGCAGCATGAAGCCGTGTTGCAATGGGCAAGTATGACAATTTGTTAATATGTTTGCTGCAAAGTCAAGCAAGGGAGGCTGGAATTGGGCTGAGTCCTTGCGTTTTGGATGCTCTTAGCCATAGCCATCTTTAAGTCTTGGTTTGAAGGCACCATAAGCCCTGACCATTCAAATACCCGCGCAAGATGCCCAGGCGCCCTCCTTGGGTTCTTCTTACTTTGGCCACGGTGCTTTGCTCTCGCCTCAGGGGGATCTCACTCGGCCTAAAAGCTGTGCTGAGCTTCTCCAACTTGTTCGGTCGAAAAGCCTGACCACACTCAAGTTCAGGAGGCCTGTGATCTTGGATGCCCGAGTTGGGCCACTTTCAATTGGCAAAAGCTTTGAAGCCCTTGGTTTCTTTCCTGTGTGCTGTGCGGAGGCCTCTGACTTTAATGCAAGCCTGGTGAAAGCCGACGGGGCTTTGCAAGAGGTTGAGGTTGCTTTGCAGGCTCATATTTCTCATCAGAGCGTTTGACAGTCATGTTGCTCGTGGGATGCACATGCATGTACATGGGGAAGGGGGAGGGGGGGCTGGGATATTGATTAATAACACCCGTTTCGAGCGTCCGTAGCTATAATCTTTTAGCTGTGGCAAGAACTTCCGAGCAACCTTACAGCACTTGGACTTGGACCTCTTCAAAAACAACATACACATACATACACCAAAATCGTGGGCAAAATGAGCCGTTGCTTTAAACAATTGCAAGCTCTAGAACACACACACACACACACACCCTCACAGGCGCTGCAACCTTGTTTTATTGCATCAACGCCTGATTCTCACCGTACAGGGTCAACGCCGGAAGATCCGCGAAAGGCAGCTGCCAGAACACAAAGTAACAACCAAATCACACCTGCTTCATGCGTTCTGTGGATGTAGAGGCATGCTACTTGATGTCGATGTAGTGGTTTGCTGATACCATTTGATACCTTTGACGGAGAGGTGGCTGATCTCCATGCCGTATTCCAACCCTTCTCAACTCCAAGCGCTAGAATGAAAGGCACATCCCATATGGATACCCAAAAGAACTTGAATCGAATGGGTGTGCCGTGGGGGCCTGGGACAGTGGGGTACAGGAGATTCAGCTCCACAATGCAGCAATTACACAAATGCTCAACCAGAAGGCCATGCACGCAGTTGGAGATTCAAGGAGGCATGTCAGTGTCATTAGACTTGGCTTTTTGGCTTCACTTGATTCATGTTGGAGAGACTTGCCAGCAGGTGATTGCTAAATACAGTTGCATCAACTTTTTTCCGCATCAGTGACTTTGTGCAGGCCCCACTGACTAGAAGAGAAGCACACTCCTTGACTTTGGAAGCTCTTCAGCTGCATTTTGCAGGAATGTGCTGTGACAGCGACATTTATCAAGCAGAAGGGCAAAGCACCAGTTTGGGGTTTGCCTTTAGTTACTTTAGTTTTGATGCAGCGCCTTCTTTCCATGTATATATATATATATGTAGTGTATATATTATTGTTGAAACCCTTCTGCGGACATGACCGAAAACACACGTTCCCAAACCAAATGCACAAAACAGACCCGCTGCTCTCTTTCAACGCTTCTTTGGTTGGGGTTCCTCCTTCACGGGAGGTCTTCAAGGCCATCAGGCCCTCTCAACAAAAAGGGCTGCGCAAATGCAGTCAACCTTCAAGGAAGTGCATGAACACTCCCCCTGTCTTCTTCTGAAGACATCCATGTTCAAAAACGAAGCCTTCGACCACGTCACGGGTACTCCCGGATGAACCGTTCTTCCCGCTCGTGAGGGTGGCCATCAGCTTCCTCGCCTTTTCAGGCTCAAGCCCCCTTTCCGTTGTAGGTGGTTGGTGATCCACCAGTGCTTTTCTCTTTTCTCAAAACTTCACCAGCTCAGCTATCCCGGGGTGTGGTAGGCATCATCTGCATTGTACCCAACACAATGCAGCCAACAAACATAGCTTTCCATGCCCAACCATTCATTTCCAGGTTTTCCAGCTAGGCCAGTTATGAACCGTAGGCTTCAAAGCCACTTTCTTTCGCCAAGGCCAAAATGGCCATAGGGACCAACAGCTCTGCTAGGGTCCCTCCTTGGAACATCATCATCACAAGTTCAAGCCCCGCCTTCGGAGCTCTTGGGAGCAAAGTGTACACTGGTCGTACTTCTTCTCGCTGCCGGTGGAGCAAGGCAATGGCGACGGGGCGTTCCGGTGGCAGATCTCACCCCATCCTCTACACCAGATAGGCTCGCCCCTTCGAAGCCTGCTTTGCTCACTGCAGTAGGCACACCTGTGACACGGTGGAGAGCTCCTCAAGATCGAAGTTTGAAGCGACTGGCAGGACTCAAATAGGTGGTACCTTTGGCCGAACTTGGTGATGAAGACTCCAACAGCTCTCGGCCCTTACTTTCCCCTTTTCCACCTTCTGATCCTCCTTCGCTCTTTCCTCCTCCTGAGCCCGCCTGCTGAAACCTTCTTGGGGCCGCTTTCGGTGCTGCTGTTGGAGGGTCATGACTTGGCTCCCAGCTGTCATCCAGCCTGATGTCACGATAGTCCCTTTCGGAGGGCTTCTTCTTCTTCAACTTCCATCACTTCAGGGCCATCAGGTTCAGCCTCTGCTGGGACCTCCTGTTCAGGCTCCTCTTGAATCCCAGCTAGATTGGGATCTGTGTTGGATGAGGTGGCCATCGATGCCGGTCCTGAAGATGCAGAAACCATCAAGGGCTGTTCCAATCCAGCCATGACCCTTTCTTCAGGGCTCAACGAAGACGTCCATCTGATGAGCCATTCGCGATTTTGGATGCCGAACTGGCTCCTTTCTTCTTGGGTCATTGGCCGAGAAGCCCCATAGGCCCAGTCGATCTCATTCTGCTCGCCCTTTCCTTGACCTTTTCCTTTTCTTTTTCCTTTTGACCTTGCACTTGGTCTGTTGACTTCTCTTCCTTGCCAATCGACGGTGATTGAGCTTCCTTGCGATGGCTCTGAACTTGTACTGCCTGGTGGACCTCTCACAGGAGGATCTTCAGGAATCCCTGCTGCGTGATCTCCTCCTGGAACAGCAGGTTCACAAAGCCATGCAATGAACCTTCTCAGGAAGAGCGTGGCAAGCACAACCAGTAAGGTGTAGCCCATCACCAAGAACTTCAAAGGTCCTTCATCAGATGGTTGGCTTCCTTCATCACCTCCTCCTTGTGCTCGAGCTTTCGCGATGATGGCCATCAGAACTGCCAGCTGCATCTGGTTGGCATTGATCTGAAGCCCGGAGCGACCTTCTTTCTTTGGTCCTTCCTTTACTTCCTTCTTCTCTTCTTCAACCTTTTGTGGATCTTCTTCCTTCTTTGATCTTGCTGCCTCTGGGCCGTCCTCCTTTACTTCCTTCTGTGCTCTTGCTGCCTCTGGGCCGTCCTCCTTTACTTCCTTCTTTTCTTCTTCAACCTTCTTTTGGATGGCCATGGACATAAGCTCTTTGAGCTCCAGTGTTCGCTGGATGGGAAGCGGCTTCGTGCCCAAGTCAGCAATCATGATGGCGCCAGGTAGATGCCTGACTCTCCAGTCGAGGTTGGTGATCCTCCATCGGACATGTTGTGCGCGAAGCCTCAGGTGGCGTGTTCGCCAATTTGCATGTCCATCTGCGAAGAATCCTGTAGCTGCAAGATTGTCGACGAACAGGGTCTTGGTGTAGGGATCGTCGTGTTCTTGGATCATGCTATCGACAGCATCCCCTGTTTGCAGACCTTCAATAGCTTCTAAAAGCTCGGATTCGGCTGTTGACAAAGCCGGGAAAGGTTGCATTCCACTTTTCCAAAACATCATATAGCTCCATTCCACAGGACCATGACGGCCCCGCGAGAGGCCTGAGTTTCTGGAGTGGCAGCAAAACTTGAATCTGTATAGACCTCCAGAGATCTTGGCCCTCCATCCCAGCCTTCTCCTCGTCCAGGGCGGAACTCAAGACCTTCATTTGGTGTGTTCTTCATATACTTCCAGACCTGTGTGGCCTGTTCGGAAGCCCAGGTGGGATGTGTCAAGATCTCCTGCGCACATCGACTAGTGGCAAAGGAGACATCAGGTCTTGTCCTGTTGAAAGCCACATCAACTCGCCCACCAGTTTTTGAGCTTCCGTAATCTTTTCAGCCGTAGGTTCTTCCAGGTAGGGCAGAGCATCCTTTGTCATCGGCACCTTCACACTTCGGCCTTCTGGGATACCCTCCTTGTCCAGGATGTAGTCTTCTTGCTAGGCTCGAAATCCGCCTTGTGGGGCCTGAGTCAGCTCCATGCCGAGGAATTTGACCTTCTTTTGACCAACCACTTCAGGTTCGAATGTCTCCCATTCATCTTGAAGCACTTTGATGATCAGGCTTGTAGTGGTTGGATCACTGGCCACCATCAAATCATCAACGTACACCAGCAAAAATCCGACCAGCCATTCATCACGGTCATCATCAATTCCTTGGCCCTTCATGATGCTCCACAAATTTGGTCCCGCATCGGCTTGGACAAATCGATGGCCTTCTTTTGACTTCATCTTTCGAAGGACACTATCACGATGTAGTCCCCAGCACCGAGGCGACTGTCGCAGGCCGTACATGGCTTTCTGCGCCAAATAGAATTCCTTGACTCCCACGTGGCCAGTCTTGATGAGCAGCGAGGGAGGTTTGAGCACCACAACCGTTGGGACTTGACCATCATCTTCTACATCAAGGGGCGCATTCAAAAATGCAGTGCGGATGTCAAGGACCGTGGCTCCCCAGCTCTTTTCAGCTGATCGCTTCAGCACATAGCGCAAGCAAACGGCATCAGCGCCCGAAGCATAGAGACATTGATCCTTTTGGTCTGGTGTGGATTGATCCACAAAATTTCCACAGGCAACCAACCTGATCTTTCGTCGTGGTCCAGGTTTGAGGGTGATCACAACTTTGGATGGGAGGATCTCCAAGTGACGACCGCACTTTTTGCGGAGGTGCTCAACTTCATCTTCCGAGATGCGCTTCAGTGCCTGCTTTTCTTCGAAGAGCTGATGCAGTTCTTTCTTTATGGCCTCGTCCCACTTTGGTGCTTCACTGAGCAACTCCTTGGGGGATACTATCCTTGTACGAAGCACCGACTCTTCTTCTTTAGGCATGGCGCTTTTGACCTTTTTGAGCTCTTCGTAGACGATGTCCATGACTTTGACTTCATCCTTCAGCATGATCACACTTTCCTCCAGGACCACATTTGAGAGACGTTCGAGGTCCCTTTTTCTTTCCTCTTCCATCTCCTCATATTCATCCTTCTTCAGGCTTTTTGCCGTGACTTTTCCTCGAATCCTCCTCCTGTCCATGGGCATCTGGTCGCGGAGCCAAGTATTTCACCACTTCATGTGTACCTTCTAGCTCCTTCGTTTTCCAAAACCTTCTTTTCACCAACAGCTCATGCCCAAATGGCGGCACATCATTGAGCTCCTTGTCGGCCATTCTTCGACGTTCACGTTCATGAGCATAGTGGCATGCTTGCGGCCATCGACTTGCAGGAAGACCAGCCATGCCCAGGAGACGGCGAATCTGTCCCTTGACACTTTGAATCGCTCTCTCGGCGCGTCCATTGGACTGAGAGGACACTCCCGCAGTCGTAGTGCGATGTATATCTCGAGAGCGGCGCCACTGGGTCAGTGACCTTCCCCTGAATTCGACTCCCAAGTCAGTGTGGAGACGAGCAACGTGGTATCCCATCACCCTCAACTGGATGTACATCTGCTGGATGGTCGACAGCACCATTTTTTGATCTTTGGATGGCATTGGGATCGCAAGGCGGAAAGTGACCAGGCGAGGTTCTTCTTTATTTTCTCCCTGCTCTTCGTCCTCCTGTCCTTCTTCACCATCCTCTCTTTCTTCAACTTCTTCAGCAGGAACTTCATCCCGCTCGGTTTGATCATCCAGATCATCTTGACCTTATTCGTTCAACTCATCATCCTTTTCTTCTTGGAGCTGAACCTCCGAGAAGTCTTCGTCTTCAGCGCTGACCAGCTCTTCGGGGAGTTCGTAGTCAGCTGGAAGCAGCCAGGTATATGCGCCAACCATGATGAACTAGGCGACATCACGGCCATCCTGAGCCACTGGGTAGGGACCTGCAGTATCCAAGGACAGTGTCGCTGCCAATGGGTGCTTGACCTTTCGATGTGGCTTTGATTTGGCACTTTGTTCTTGGCACACTCTGCAGTCTCTTCGAAAAGGTACGTGGCCGTTCTGACAATGCTGATCCCATGTCATGGCCTTGATCTTCATCTTTTCTTCATCACCTTCATGGAGATGAAGCGCACACGCCTCAGCGATCGCCCGGCAAAGTCCAGGTACCCACCTTGACAGAGAGGC